GAATTCCAATGGCGTAGTGTTGGTAGAGTTCTTTGCCCCGTGGTGTGGCCACTGTAAGGCGTTAACACCCACGTATGAGAAGGTCGCTTCTGTCTTGAAAGGCGTCGCTACCGTCGCAGCACTAGATGCCGATGCTCACAGCTCCCTTGCTCAGGTAACCTTTCCCAATTCCCTCTACTATATTTACTTCCAATTTCTCTGTATCGTTGAAAATCCTATCCGAATTGATGAGCACAGACTAGGGCAATGCTTTTGTAGGATTGAGCTGAAATAAGTAACGACAAGTATTACGAAGTACTAGTTCGAAAAGAGTGAGGGTGACAGAGATACATATCCGTACACCAGCACAATTGCACATATATTTGGAATTGTATAAAATCTCTTTTAACGGTTACACAACTTGTAGGTATGTAGTGAGTTTAGTAATTAATGTTATAGATAATATTTGGACCATGGGATATTATTAAATTTGATCTGATAGGACCGGTAGTAGTTTCATGCAATTGCTTCAGCAGTAATGCCAATCTCTTGAGTGTATGTAGAGCTATGATGTGCTGAAATGATATTTCAAAGATGGATATATTTGATTGATGCTAATTTGACATTCTTGTCTTCTAGGAATATGGCATTAAAGGCTTTCCTACCATTAAGGTTTTTGTACCTGGAAAGCAGCCTGTGGATTATCAAGGCGCAAGGGAGGCTAAATCCATGGTTGACTTCGTAAAGGCACAGGTAATTACTGTTTTATGTAATAAGTTAGAAATATTAATTCAGAACAATGGTTTTCTCTCTGTTCACTCCACTTTTAAGTGATGAGCATTGTAATTGAACAAGCTAAAATCTAGTGTGCTTGAAAAACAATTTGAATGGCTATATAGGTTTCACACAAAGATCCTTGATGTACATTTTTCTTTTATTTTTGTTTGCAACCGCAATAGATTGTTTAAATTTTTTCCCATTTCATGATACTGCTTTAGCTATAACTTTCTATTCATTTTGTATTGTTTTTTTCTGATATCTTGAAATATTTAACTTGCAATATACGGAGTATAAGGTTGCTTCAGTTTTATGCCTACTAAGAGCATCCACAATGGTTGGGGAGAATTGGGGGATAATGTAAGAGTGATTAGGAGGGAGAATGTGGGTAGGGGAGGAAAAAAAAAGCAAAAAAACCAAAATCAAAAAAAAAAAAAAAACAAAAAAAAACAGAAGGGTCAGGCGCGCCCGTGTGGGCTGCTGCTGTGCGCAAAACGCGCACAGCAGCCCATGTTTTTTTTTTTTTTTTTTTTCTTCTTCTTCTTTTCTGCCATTATCCTCAACTTTGCAGATGAATTCTTCCCAAATTTATTCTCCCCCACATTAGCTATAAATTTGAATTGAGTGAATTAATGCTGCATTCTCCCCACATTATCTACTGATGTAGATGCTCTAACTAGCTTCAGAACAACTGCAAATGCTTATACAAGTTTTTTTCTGAATATGACTTTCTCTATTGAAGAGACTGTCAGTCTTAAAATTGTCAGAAGTATATATTTCAATTTTCAAATTATTGAATTGTCCTTTTCTCCATAGCCTATGTGTTCCCCACGTCCCTCCTTTTACCTAAATTTCAGTTAACGCCAGAATTGGCAATTAGGAGTAGACAGGGAATTTATGATTGAACTTATTGAGTTAGACTTTTTTTGCATAGCAGCATAGGTAAAATTGGGATCGATTAAATGTTGGTTGTCCTTGATTTAGCTAGTCAATAGATAAATAAGAATATCGGAATATAAAGGATTTTTAAAAAATAAAAAATAATAAAAACAACATATCTACCTAAAATATAACATTAGACTGCTTGCAGTTAGTTCACAATATATATCTGATTGTGGAAAAGTTGTAGGTTTAGAATGGTTTCTGGACTATATTTAGCCCTTAATGGTCTTAGGGCATCTGTACACATTCTGTTTCTGTTGCAACTCCAACCAGAAGAAGATGATTACGATCAATTTTCCATATACAGATTAGGAATCTGTTGAAGGATCGGTTAGATGGAAAAGCAACCGGAGGGTCTTCTCAAAAGTCTGAACCTAGTGCTTCAGTTGAATTGAACTCAAGAAATTTTGATGACTTGGTGGTTAAAAGCAAAGACCTCTGGATTGTGGAGTTCTTTGCACCTTGGTAAGTTGCCTACTTCATAATTTTAACTCTCTTAATGTTTCACGGTTTCACCTGATTTCTCCTGTGCTCCTGCATATTTCTATATTGCTGTTTACTTGCTTACTTTGTTGATTGTAAATGCAAAATGCTTGGATTACTGAACTGATGTTGACCCTGGAAATTGAACATGAAGGCCACGAACTTGGGTCACTGAGCCACCTCCTTGGACCAATGAACCTTGGCATGTTCATTGCCTGACGGACTTTAAATGGGAGTGAAGTTTCCTTTCAGGTCAAGCCTGCAATGTCAAAAATTGAATGATAGTATTCTTAGGCAAGGCAAGATTAATTAGATTAATAATTGACTGCTCCAACTTAATTATACTATTATAGGGCTAACATTTATCTGCTTATTTAAAAATGGAAGGAATTATCTCTGCCCCTCTTATTGCCTTATCTTGTTTAATCTCTCTTCTTCTCAGTGGCCTCCTTCATATTCTCCTAGCATGAATTTTTTCCTTCATAAACAGACATAAGTTACATCTTTGACTGTATACTGCACCTTAATTGCATTTTATTAGTTGGCATTCACAAAAATGAAATACCCTTATGCCATTAGTGAGGTACCTGTTGATCATAAACTCACAGTTAGGGGATTGGACAGGAAAATTTGAAAGTTAAGGATCAAGGTGCAGATTAAGTGAAATTTCGGTGACCACAGGAGTAATTTAGTCAGAAATGGACAGATGAAGAAGTATACAATGATATGCTCCTTCATGAATAAGGATCCTATTCTGCACAATTTTTTTTGTGTCTACATGTGAATGTCAAGAGCGCATTTCCTAGACTATTTCAGTTGTTTTTAGGCAATGTGTTTGGCTCATATGACCACATGGTCTACATATAGTATTTTGATTACTATTTTGTTCTGCAAAGGTGTGGCCACTGCAAGAAGCTTGCTCCTGAGTGGAAGAAAGCTTCAAAGAACCTCAAGGGGAAGGTGAATTTGGGCCATGTAGACTGTGATGCAGAGAAGGTGAGTTGTAAACTGCACATTCTAAGACGGCATTATGCATATCAGAGTGCATATTTTATTCGTTTGCAAATATTATAATTGCCTGAGGCCGAAGAAAAAATGGGAAGTTAATTTTCATGAATCTTGTGTCGGTTATTGATTTTTCAAATGGATTGAGATCTGATGGGTTTAGTTTCCAGTCTCTGATGAGCAGGTTCAGTGTCCAAGGGTTCCCTACAATTTTGGTATTTGGTGCTGACAAGGACCATCCTGTACCTTATAATGGTGCAAGGACTGCCTCTGCAATTGAATCATATGCACTAGAGCAGCTGGAGATAAATGTTTCTCCTCCTGAAGTAACTGAATTGACTGGACCGGTATTCCTGCTTTACTCCTAGAGTTCTTTCATGGGTAATTTTGTCCATTCATACCATTATTCAACACATTTCTCAATGTCTTCATATAGGATGTTATGGAAGAAAAATGTAGCTCTGCTGCTCTTTGCTTTGTGGCATTTCTCCCTGACATTTTGGACTCCAAGGCAGAGGGAAGGAACAAATACCTTGAGACATTGTTATCTGTTGCTGAGAAGTTCAAAACGAAGCCCTACAGGTAAGTGCAATAATGTGCAAATTATTTTGATTGATTTATTATTTTCTGGAAGGCTTAAGCTAATAAGTACTCCGTAACTAATGCAATGCAAGTAGACACAAAATTCATTCATAAATTGACATGGCTGTCAAGCTTAACCAGTCTTAATGATAATTACAGCTATGTTTGGGCTGCTGCCGGTAAGCAACCAGATCTCGAGAAGCATGTTGGTGTTGGTGGCTATGGCTATCCTGCGCTAGTAGTCCTAAGTGTTAAAAACCAAGTATATGCACCCCTTAAGAGTTCATTTCAACACGACCATATTAAGTAAGTGCTTGTCCAAGCTAATTTCTTTGCTCTTGATGTGATATTGCGATTTGAAATGTGATCCATGACCATTTTCATATATGCAGAGAGTTCGTGAGAGAAATTGGAGAATTAGGGGGTAGGGGAAGAAATTTGCCTTTAACTGGCACCCCTACAATTGTAAAGACCGAACCTTGGGACGGTAAAGATGGGGAAATCATGGAAGAGGATGAGTTTTCCCTTGAAGAACTTATGGGAGATGATACAGTTAACAAGGATGAATCTTAAACTTCAATACTTCCTCTTTCAACATTATAAAGAATGGTACTCTCTACTTTAAATTTTTGAGGATTTAACAGGTTAGATAATGTGTTAATATCTTGTACTTAATCAAGTTTTAAACATATTTAATGCAATGATACTCGTACCATGTGGAATCACGTTGCAAGTAGCATTGTGGTATGCTATTCTCTTTTAAGTTAGTTACGATTAATTAATAAAGTGTGTGTATAATGGCAGCAAATGCGCCACGCAGGTAGGTGGTTGGAGGAAACAGAGTGCGGTTCTGTATAATTAATTACAGATTTAAGAAAGAAGATTAGAAGAATACCAAATTTCAAAAGAGAAAATAATAATGAAAAGGACTTGTAGCTTCCGCGACAGGTGCTTGACCGGGGATAGTCCAACCACGTACCCCTTCCCAATTAAGGTTTCATATATCCCGACGGCTATTTATTTAGTGAACAAAAATGGAGGCGCAAATCTATTCGTCGATTATTAGTGGTTAGGTGTAACAAATATCAACTTGCCAGTTGCCACCACAAACTCTTCAACGTGCTATATATTACATAACCTGTATATGCAATCTATTACTAGCTTTGCTTGGACATGCATTAATTAACATGTTCAAATGTTATTTATATTATCAAATATTTTGCATCCATCCATCAATCAAAACTTGTATTATATATACGAGGAAACACATCCATGAACTAAGAAAATAATAGGCATATTGCACTCAAGTACAAGTCTTTTGTAAAACGAGTACCAAAAAACAAAAACAATACTAATTGAAAACATATACAACATAGTCCTAATACAGATTTAACTCCTGACATTCAGTGTATTCCCCGTACGGCTAAGACCAATATAATATGGTACGCAAATTTAAGCTTGTTGTAATCAAAGCAACTGGTGGATAGTATCCTGGCACATGCACATGCAGTCCACTAAAACTGATGGATGAGATATTTGATCAAGTAATCAACAATTATCCGGTTGGTTTTCTCGGTGAGATGGAAGGAATCCCAGAATACATACTTATTTGCATCCGTGCACGTAAACGGGTTCATCTTGTCACACAAGTAACTCATCTCAAACATCCCTGTCCCGCAACAAGCTAATGATGCCACATCAAACCCTACATTTACATAATCAACTAAAACAATTAATACAAATCCAACTCCCATCTACTAATAACCTCAGATCCATCAACTTACATTTTTCAACATATTAATAACAAGTGAACTGTGTTAAGTGCACCTAACAAAATTGATAGTGTTTCATATATTCTGGAACACCAATTAATCCACTGTACTTAACAAATCTCTACAGCCACCAGATGCACATTAATTATTGTCTATGAATTTATGGATGAATACATTATTAACTTTGACTCTTTCCATTATTATCGCAATTTTAATTTTAAAACTTAAAACCAAATGTGCAAAAATTATTACAGAATATTATTATTATTATTTGGTGATGAGGGAAAATTGCACGGGATAAACCTTACCCTGATACAATAATCCGCAAACCACACAAAAAGATTAAACCAACTAGAAAGACTCGGTGTGACCAACTCAACTATAAAGAGTGTTGGTAAAACTATATTTAAATGAAATGAACTCAAATTTAATACATTTTTATATTAATTGAAGAATGTGTTTCGTCTCAACTAAAGATATAAGTTGAGAGTTATATGACTTCTCTTGCATGAATCGGACTCTAATATCATATCAAATTGAATGATATGTTCAACTAAAAGTTTAAAGTGACAATTAAACTATACATTTTTAGTTTATATAATATATGCTAAACAATACTTTAATAATTTTTGTAATAAAGAGATGTTTGGAATTGGGAGGTGGATGTTGGCTAATCTTTTCACGGAGTATTTTATATTTTATATATAAAGGAATGGACCACACTTGAGAATTAAATGAAGATTAGCCCGGGGGTCATCTGCCACCCATTATGGTCTCGTACAAGGTACCCAGTCCTTGACCATAACCAAAATTATATAGCACATAAATGTGCAGTCATTTAATTTAGTACTCTGTATCAAAATCAGACCAGGAAATAACATTTTTTAAAAAATAAAGTAACATTTATTTTAATTCTTTATTTTTTCAAATTTTCTATTTTTAAAATGTATCTAGTTTTAAAGGTTTTAATGTGTTAAATTGAAAATAATTTTTTAGAGAAAATTATACTCCGTAATTTTTTTGTCTAAGGACATCATCTTGTAAAAATATAATTTTAAAAATTTTTATTTGTTATTAATAAGTAACTAAAGGGAAGGAGAAGAAGGGCAAGAAGAAATTACCAAATGCAGAAGGTTTTCTGATGATCTGAAGCAAGATAAAGTAAGAATCAGCGTAAAGAATTTTAATCCCAGGAAGCTCCTTGTTAAGCTTCTTGACAAGGCCGTTCAACAGCCCGTTAAAATGCAGCGCCACCGCGTTGTACTCCTCATTGCATTCGTTTCCATGCCCGCCTAAATAATTCGTGGTTCTCTCCAATGGCAGACACCCCATCGGCGGCAGCCCTCCCAGCGAGATTTTCCGGGCACCCAGCGCGTATATCTCCCTCACGAATTTCTCCGCCTGCCCGATCAAGAACACCTGGAACTGCTCCACCGTGTACTGGGCCGACCGCCGGCCCCCCAGATAGTAATTTTCCAGGAAATCGTTTGTTCCGATGCTCACCACGTACAGAGATTCCTGGATTATGTGATTCGCTTTCTTTTCTCCGGCGTAGGCTCTCAGCTTCTTCTGGTAATCCTTGTAGTACTCCACTTCCTTCCATAGCGGTATCACATTCTGTAACAGAAATGGTTGAGTTTGTCTCATATAAACAGAAATTGTTGAGTTTGTTTCATATAAATAAAAAAAAATGTTGAGTTTGTTTCATATAAACAAAAAAAAAAAAAATATTGAGTTTGTCTCATAATAGTTGGATTGCACTATATGCTCGCCCAGTCGAATCATGACCTTTGGTCTAGCTCTGATATCAAATTGAAGCATGTGTTTTATCTCAGCTAAAAGTGTAAGTTGATAGTTGGATTACACATTAATAGCTATATGCTCAACAGATTTGGATACCAGGACATCGGAGGTGGCATTGTCGTATCCGGTGCCGGCGGAGGCGAAGCAGACGCCATCAGCGAAGTCGGAAATCTTGTAGGCAGGATCAAGGTAGGCAGGGACGAAAGGGCGGAGGCCGAGGCCCTCGGAAATCAAGTCGGGCGGAACCCGGCCGTTGCTGAACCTCCCGGTGGCGCGTTTTCCGATGAAGTCGCGGCCGTAGGGCTCGAAGTTGCTCTTGAGGAGGGTGGAGATCTGGTTGTTGTTGCCGGAATCCACGGAGGAGTCGCCGAACACTATGACTGCCGGGAATTTGGCAGCCGTGGCAGAGGCAATAATAATAGCGAGGCATAAGAAGAGTAGTTGGGAGAGGGGGTGGAGTGCGGCCATTGTTAGTGCGTGTCCACGGAGTTCAAGACTGTTCATTAATAAACAAGTGATGAAGCAACAGAGGAAGCAGCTGGCGGTTAAGAGGGAGTGAAGCCGAGGAAATGACTTAACTTCAATTTATACATGCCAGATTGCCAGGGCACTGTCACTACAATAATAATAATAATTCAATGCCACCACTGACCAGTGGGATATAATTCCTATGCAATTGTGTAATTACTAATTACTAATTAATATGTAGCTACAAATGAAAAATGATAACGGATTTCACGTTATTATAGATACTAATGTAAAAGTATTTAAAGATGTGTTGATTATTTATTTATTTTTTTCTGGTCTTCCATTGGGATTCTCGATTCCTACCCTTACGAGTATGCGGATGAGAAATATTTTTAATTTTTCGTCCGAAATGAGGATGGGGACGTGGATATCCCTTCCCATCCTATTCCTTCCCTAACTTTTTAATGTCATAATAATATATTATTGTTATTATTTTTTTAAGGTTGTAGATGGTGTGTATTGTATTTAGATACGGGATGTATTGTGTTATTATTTGCATGATAATTTTTTGAATATTATGTTTGACATTTTGATTGATATTGATAATTCAATAAGAGTTTAAGTATTTCAAGATTAAAAATTTAACAGTTGAATTTTTTACTTAAAATATTAAGAATTATACTAGTTTGACTAGGAGTTGATCGAGGAAAGAGATTCTTCGTCTCGGAAAATCATTGCAGGGATGGAGATGGGAAAATTTTGGAAAATACTATATGGACACATGTTTCTTACTTCCAACTTCGTCTTTGAAAAATCATTGTGGGGACAAAGATGAGAAACTTTTGGAAAATACTATATGGACTCCCATTTCTTACTTCCAACTTCTACTCCCTCTCACAAATTCTTGATATAGACACTTTTCCAATGACTCACATGTTCAAAGTATTCAATCATTGTTTGTCATATCATGAAATAAAAGTGAGTGAGTAGAATTTAGGAGTACATGTAGTAGAACTCGAAAATTTTTCCTATCTCTGGCGCAAACAAGGACAGGGATCGGGGTGGGGTTTCAAGAACGTGGATAGGGAGTATATTAGTTCTTAGCGTTGAAAATGCAAAAGAGGAAATTGAGTAGTTATTTATAATTAAAAAAAAATGCAAGATGAGTTCTACATAATTTTGATTAATATTTAGTTTTCTAAAGAGTTTATACTTCAAATGATCCCTTTGATCTTGTCATAATTCTTAAATTAGTTACTGATTATTAATTTACACAAAATAATCCCTTAACTATGCAAAATTTTAGTCATGACCACAAGGCCACAGCTATGCCGCTCAAATGATCCCTCTCTGTTATTTTACTAAGGATTGAATTGGTTAAATTTTTGCATGGTCAAGTGGTTATTTTGAATTAATTGGTAATTGAAGTCCAAATTGAGAATTATAAGATAATTAAAAGATTATTTTGTGTATTATCTCTTTTTGAAATTTAAATTGTAAGCTCCGTTTCTTGTTAATTATGAAATGGGGCAAAACTTTTGAAAAAAACTTTAGATTTATTAAGAAATTGCACGAAAATATTTTTAAAATGAAAAACTCTACATTTTAGATAATATACAAAAGATTTGACATACATCACATTCTTATTTGTTTATTAAAAAAAAAAAAACAAAAAACCTTCACATACCACTACGTCATGCCTAATTCACATAAAATCCAACATTGTTCTAATATGTCGGCCTTTGTGTTAATTGCAATTCTACCAATAGTTTGAAAGGAATCACCTACTATATCTATGTTATCGATAAAAATCAACGTGTTGTCACTATACATTTAATGCACATTTGTTTGTATGAACCGGCGAATGAGTCAATTTCTTATATAGATCCATGAATACGCTCTATACCCATGAAAGGATAGCTAGAACATGAATCGAGTCCCACTTTGTCGGGCTACGAAAGCACAAAGAGTCAATGTCCTCAAATTGAGACTTAAACCTGAGACCTCTCATCTGAGGGGCCACAGTTATGTCGCTCGACCACAAGGCCTTTGGCAGTTTCAATAATATTTAAAACTAACCAATTGATTTTTTTTTTGAAATATAATGTCGATAGTGTCCTGAAAGATTAAAGGTACATTCTCGTACTAAAAATCATGAGTTCAATTTTTATTATTGCCAACACCCAGCCTATCAATAAAAAAACTGACGATGATATTAGCCCGAGATCAATCATGAGGTCAATGGTTCGATCTTGAATCGGTCTGTGGCCACCTCTAGTAGATATGTAGTTAACATCACATACTCAGAGTTGGTATTGTTGCATTCACAATTAAGTTAGTTAAAAAAAAAAAAAGAAAGAAATTAAATGATTGGAGTTGAGTGAGGGAGTAGATCAGGGGAGGACGGTGTTTGGTGGGCATATTTATGGCTGCTGAAGAAATGAGCCAAGGAACTCAAAAAGAAAGTTAATGAGACTTGATATGGAACATGAATAACCACCAATTGAGTTGTTATGCTTATACTTTTCTAAAGCTACGTCTACCTATAAACTATAACCATTAATTATGCAACCTGCCTGCTTCTCTTCTACTTAAACATTAAACATTAAACATATATATACAATTGCTCGAAAGATGTTATTGAGTAAGTAAACCATGATTCTTGTATAAGAAGGTTTCGGTTTGATTCTTGTCAACATGTTTCCGATCGAATTCATCGCACAGAGTATTTTTAGTGTGATTTGCGGACTATTACACAATAGTAAAGTTTATTTCTTGCACATCTTTAATAGTGGTAGGGAGTTTTCTATAATTTTCAACTATATGGATAGTTAAAAATAAAATGGTATGCTTTTATTTTAAATTTTTATATGTTTGTGTAATTTATTAAACAAGACATGTTGAGAAACGCACACGCAATAATAAACTCTAATAAGGTAGAACATTGATTATTACTTCCTTTTTAAAAAAATTATAAACATATCAAATCTTATTTATAGAATCCTCTCAAAACTGGTCACTTCCTCTTCATAAGGGTGAGGATGAATTCGCCAAATTTGCTTCGATCTGATCCACATTCGTCAAAAGTGGATGAAATGTGAATTTTATTTTTTAAAATTTACAACATCCAATTCACCACTTAATAAAAATCTTAAAATTATTTAAATGTATGTTTCTGACTCTCTGTTCATAACTACTTTCTCAGCCTACTAAAAGCATATCGTCTCCATTGGAGATAGATTGAATCCATGACCTTCAATTTGAAAGAGCAATTTCATGCCACTGAACCACAAGGTCATTGGTCATGAATTATGTTCTTATTAGCCTGTATGGGCAGCTCAGTTGGTCATAGGGGTGAAGTTTGGGAAGAATGTCCAGTGATCGAATCTCACCCGCGGTAGTGTGTGAGCAACCTCTCAAAATAAGGGACTCCTTGTGCACAATAAACAAGGTCTAGTCTCTGAGTTCAGCTGAGTTACCATTGTACATCTCCAAGATTTGTTGTCTAATAAGAATCTAATTCTTGTGTAAAAATATGGATGGTGAAAATATAATTTCTTTTTTAAGCGAATGAAAATTACTTTGTAAATTAGAGGAAGAGAAATGTTACAGACCTTGGATTGTTAAATGGTGGCCGCGCCGGGGTAAATCTTGAATGAGGGGGATATAATTACGTTGTGGCCAAACAATAATTGAATTTGTAAATTTGTTTGAATGCCTTGAGAATTTATAGACATAATACTCAAACTACTATATCTTATTTCTATTCCATTTGCATTTTCTTAAATAAAAGCTATCAAAAGAGCATGTCCATGGTCTCACTTCTCTTAGACTTTTTATTCTATTTTTAAATTGTCCAGTGGTTGATGATAAATAGAGCTTATATAATAATTCATAAAAAGATAAGAATTTCGCAATATGAAAACCAATAATAAAATTATAATAAAAATATAATTTATTTAACCAATGAAAAACTGCCACATAGAATAATTACCAATAAACTAATCAAAAGGAATTTTAGAACTTGCTTTTATTATAAATAAATACAATAGCTAGATATGACACACACTACTTATCATGAATGTATCGTTGACTTTATAGTCACATAGTAATCCATTTTTCAATTATGCCAACCTTCCGATTTTTTTTTTTTGAATGCTACTGGCTCTATTACATTGTAATATCTGTTCATATACTTCCTCAACCTACTGAAACACAACCTTCCGATTTAATTATATCAATATATTTGATGGATTAAACTGACCCGGGTGAGTCATATCAAATACCCAAGTAAGTAAAAGAACGAATGAATACGGTAAATGAGAAGTGATAAAGACAATAAATGTATATCACGGAGATAGAGATTGTATTAATGTTTGTGTAATGATATTACAAGAGAATAAGTGATGTCTTAACAAGATAATTACATGATTATTTATACTAATTGCTTTCTAATCATCACCCAAAAAAGGGGGAGTTAGTTGTAAAAACTTGGACCGCGCTTGGCCTCGTGGCCAGGCCCCTGCCTGGTACCGGCGGCCGAGGCCTAGGACGAGCACGAGATTCGGCCTAGGCGGCTAGGGGTCAAGCGCGGGGCCTTACCCCGATACCCTGAGTCCAACCGAACCCATCTTACTTCGCTCCACCGGGTTAGTTTGCTCCTGGTCCATTTTTAATATATCCATCAATATTCATTAAATTATTAATTACGCGTGGGCTATATGCGATATATAGGAAAAAAAAGTCAAAAGTCCAAATAATTAAATCTGCCTACACAAATAGGAAAAAATATTCACTAAAAATCAATCTTAGAGTGATTGTGTAAACACTCGGACTATTTTGGTTACAAATTGAATATTAAAAATTAAAAATAGGGCAGATTTAAATTTTAAATTGAAAAAAATAAAATGATTTTTTTCTTTTAGACTAGCATTAATGCTGCGGTATGTACCTTTTCTCAAAATGGTTATAAAGCAAAACATAATGATTGAGTTTCCATTTTACTTAAAAAAAAAACAGTTTCCATTCCGTATTTACATAATTTAATTAGTTTGCAATGTGAATTAAACTATTTTAGTATTTTTTATTTGTGCTTATAAGATGCCCATCAATTCATTTATTTTCATTAATTTTTTCCCTTCAATCGTAGCGCGCAATGACTATATAATATATGAAAAGTCTATAATGCCGATCACTACAATTATATAATAATAATATTCGTTATAATCAAGTATATTATACAAATTGTATTCGATACCATCGAAAAAAAATTCTATAATCTATTGATTACAATTATAGTATTAAATTAATAAATGAATATTTGCAATAGAATCAATGAAGATAATTAAAATCGATCTGCCACCTAGATATATGTCACCAGATTTTGTAGAAATTAAATGGACCCATCATCATTACGATTAATCTTGACTAGATTTTAATTTGTTTTTACTGTCAAATGCAATATTTTAACGTTAAATTTTCCAAAATCTGAATGCTATACATTAATATAATCAGTCCAGGCCAGCTTCTTTCAATTCATTCTTTTCTTGTATAGTAGAAGACATCAGAAATGAATACCTCATTCTCTCTCTCAATTCAACAGGTATGTCTCATGCTCTCTTTTGCTACATTTCTATATCATTAAAAACTTCTTGAATTGTTATTTACACGTTCTGTTGTATTAAAAAAAAATAGTTAGATTGTAAATGGTTGTGTCTAATTAGTGTATATAACTAATTTCTATTTAGCTGACATGATTTATTGTTCTCGTTGTTGTTAGTGCATCCTGAAAAGGGATTTTTGGGGGAATTTTTTCATAGGAATAAATTGGACGGGAGGGGATTTTTAGACGGACTGGGGTGAGCTTTTAGTTTAGTTTTTTTTTTTTTTTTTTTTTTTTTGGGGGGGGGGAAGGGGGGCTTGCAAATACCACATTTTTGTAGTACTCACGGGATGGAAAAAAAGGGAAAAAGTTATTGTGCACCTTTCACGTTTAATTTGGTTCACTACCGCGCCCAAAAATCGCAGACTTAAATATAACTTCTTTTTTTTTTTGCCTTTTTGTCAAATTTTTTCCCTCATTTTTCCTTTTCTCTTATCGAATCTCGACCCCTTCCCTCTTTATTCTACTTGGCACAAAATAAAATAAAATAAAATAAAAAAAAGTCCAACTCTTGGATATGCTGTCATAATAAATTAGTCAGACAACGGTACAAAATTTGTTTCATATATTAATTTCTGTACGTACGATTGAAGGGAAAAATGGTTGAAAATGAAGATGATGAGATGATGAAGTTGCCAAAATGGGTTGAGCTGTTCCTGCAAAGGACTTTCTTCAGCTCGTGTTTGGTTCATGAGGAAGTTCAAAAGAATGAAATGAACTGGTACTGCATAACCTGTGACGTTGCGGCATGCAGACACTGCCTCTCCTCGGATGACAGCCATGAAAGCCATACGTTGTTGAAGATTTATAGACATGTTTACAGAGATGTCGTTACCCTTGCTGAGATGGGGGTTCATATCGACTGTTCCAACATTCAGGTTACATTATATATATAGCGATGTTAAGATTTAAGAGGGTCAAAATTTGCGTATTGACTTGCACTCGTCTCATAGTGAAACGGGTTAGGGTGACAAAAGTATGTCAAATGGGCCTTGGCCTGCAGTGGTCCATAGCCTACAAAGGCTATGGGCCAAGTCGCCAACCCACGGTCAAGCCTTTTTAAATAAAAAATATATATTATATTATTTCTTATATTTTTAAATTTAAAAAATAATATTATGTGTATGAATTGTCGAATTAATATGAATTTTAAACATTAATATTGTAGTGTGTTTTGACTTTTAAAACTTGGAGATTCAACATGACTTTAATATATTCATTGTTAGTGTTTTTAATTTATTCCTGTAATCTAAAAAAAATAATTGTTTATTAACATTTGTAGTTTGAGTCAACTGGTTATTTTTGCTGTATATTCAATTATTCATTATATTATACTGCAAAAATGTTGGAATATAATGACTGAAGAAAAGAGTTTTGTGTGATGATGGACATATATATATACAGCCGTACAAGTGCAACAAAAAATGGGTTGTGTCTTTAAACCCGCTGCCGCATTGTGGATCCGGGTCACAGGTTGACGAAGGTGGAGCTTGTGATCTTTGCCGGAGAAGACTGAATGATCCTCGTCTTTATCGTTTCTGTTGTCTTGCTTGCAAGGTATATATAATGCTGCATTGCATACACCACCTATATATTTTACACATGAATTGAAGTTTCTAATGACAGACATAAATTAGTTTTCGATTTTTAAGGTGGAAAGCCATATGAAGAAGGCAATTGCAAACAACAAGGTGGTTAGGGTTGATGCAGAATTGGAAGTAGCGGCGGATGAAGAAGTTGGGTGCACCACACAAACGCGGCGCAAGCGCACAAGGAAAGGTGTTCCTCACAGGTCTCCATTGCTCTGATCTCAGAGACAACACTACATATCAAACGACACACATTAATATAATTATGGAAGCTAGCTAGATTGATTTTTCAATTATATTTCTCTTCTTAATATAATAATACTAGCTATCTAGGAAATTTTATATCTGAGATTTTACTTTTTAGACCATTCCTGCTGGCCTGTTGGTTTAATTTGCTGTTGCCCAGAACCAAAACTCTACTTTGTGTTCTCACAAACTTTATTTCCTTCAATTTACAACTTTAATTTCATGCAGCTTTATTGGTCAACTTTTAATGCTTTTAAAATGAGTAATACACCTAGTCAAGTTCAGATTGTTCTTTTGGTAATCATTAAGTTCCAAATTCAAATTCTTGTCATTGAAGTGACCTATTGACTTTCAAGCTGCTATGAACAACTTAGTCTGTTTTACCTCAATAGGGTTATAAATGTGAGGTTTACCACTGTATACCCTTAATTGCTGGTTTCTTTGGTCACACACAAAAAAAAAAACTGACAAGAGATCGGAGCACAATTTTAATTACAGTAAAAATATTGTTTGATGAGGTTTATAATACAACATATGTACACAACTCTCCGTATAAGATGAAAGCTTGTTAGAGATATATCGGGAAAGAGGGAAAATGGATGGCAATGTACATACAATGATATATAAACTCGCTGTAACTTTTGATACATGGAGCTGAGATATGATGATGTTGATGATGATGATGTTCAAGCCATATGCTTTGCTATGATCTTGTTTTGGTGTTGTAACCATAGCTGTTGTTCATGAAGATAGTTTTGTTGGGTCATGTTTGGTCCGGTGAATCCTAGGTTGTTGTCGGAAAACGTTGCAAAAGGGTCATTCTCGTACTGTGTTTCTGTGGGATTTTGAGCAGAGAATGTGGGAGTTGCAAGAAATGTCGGCGACGGAGCTGAAGAAGAAGAAGGAGAAAATATGTGGGTAGGGAAAGCTGTTGGCGAAACCATGGTTGGTATTATGGGAAATTCGTCTTCGAGAAAAGGATTGTAGTGGTGGGATACCGGGAGTGGATATTGGTCGTACAATGCATCCAAAGACAAACGATTTAGGTTGTTACTAGGTTGCAATGACAGTGGGTTTTGGTCAAACAATGTCTCCGACCGGTGTGGCGGCGGTGTTTCGAATAACACGAGCTCCCAACCGCTGCTTGAGCCGCGAGCGGGGGTTTCTTGTTCTTCATTGAAGGTCTTTGATGATAATGATGATGTTATGGTTTCGGCCAGTACGAGTTCCCATCCTTTGGAAGAATCGTCGCTCATAAAAATGTTTTCTTTTTGTTCATTATTATTATCTTCTCTGCTCTGATGATCTGTGTCGGGCTTCCAGTCATCTAAGAATAAGAGATCCGCCATGGAATCCGATACCGGCAGGGATCTTGTAGACCCGGAGTCGCTCAGCCGAAACGATTGCTTCTCGAACTGATCAGAGTACGCCTCCAAATCAATGGAAATTGGAGGGCCAGTCTTGGCGTTTGTCTCCGCCGTGGCGATTAAAAGATCCTCTAAGGAGGTGCACCGTTGTGTACTGTGGTGTTCTTCAGTCGACATTCTTTCCGGCCATCTCTCCGACGTAGAGGATAATTCAAATTTGCTTTCGTGCCTTATGGACCTTGCGCTGCTGGGAGTTGACGGCTCCCAGAGAAGCAAACCGGAACGGTTACTAGTCGGCGGCGGGAAACTTGATTGATCCTTGAGGAATTCTTGCAAGGTTTCGATGAGCTCCGGCGAGATTGAATGGACGCTGGGATACTCCGATGACCGGCCGACGCCCATGGTTTTACACAAAGAGTAAAATGCGCTTAGCTCCTCAAACTGCTTCGCGGCTTTCATGCATGTCTGGAAAGCAATCACGCAAGATTGATACTGCAAATGGAAGAAGCTATCGAGGATAAGCGTCAGCCCGTCGGAAACATCCTTGTACAGATCGAAGCTTTCTAGCACCACCGCGTAAAGAGCTTTCTGCACCAATCCGTTCGTCCTCGCCGCGCCGGTCGGCCGGGTGGCGATCGCCCTCTCCAGCAATCTCTGCCAGTACGAAATTCTATCGAGCAACATCGCCGGCTTGAGCTCCCGCACCGGCACGTTCACCTTTTTGCTCCGCCCCACGGAATCCTCCGTCTCCGGCCGGTACGTGTATCTCCGCTGCAACTTCCCGGTGAGAAAGCAGTCCAAACGCTCGTCTAGGTACAGCGCGAATGTTCTAACGAAGGACGTGAAATCCCACGGGCTGCAATGCGAATCGTCCCGGAAACTCGACAGGTTGAGAATCTTAGCTCCGCGTTTCATGGCGTGCAGAACCTCTCGGGGAAAATAAGGATCGCCGTCCTGAAAGATCCGCAGAACCAGCATCAATGACTTGAGCGCCACCACCCAGTTCCGCGTCCGCCCAATCCGCTTGCCGATGGCGCGCGCGCAGGCCGCCGCGTACACTTTGTTGGCCGACACCAGGTGGAGCACCTCGTACACGTAGCGTTCGTCCACCGGAACATCGTCGTGGGTGGTGGCTTTCAGGACGGCGACATCAAGATTCCAGGAATTGTTGCCGGAAACCTTTGCTAATCTAATGCTCGTCTGATCTTTCACTGCCCCAATCGCCTTCTTCAATTTGCTTGCCATCTTTAAAGTTTTTTTTTTTTAATGATCACGAAAAAATTCGTAACCAATATTTTGATATTATATTTTCTTTCCCTCTCCTTTTCTTGGCCTCTTGCTGGAATTAAGAAGCCAGAAAAGAAAAGAAAAGAAAACAAAACACCAAAAAATTCTAATTCAATGCTCCATTGTCAGGAATTCGATTGCTAAAATTACCAAAAATTGGAACAAAAAGGAGATGGAAAAATATATAATAATAATTTCTTGAAAGATTGATAAAATGTGTGGAGATGCGAACTTGAGGGGGGGAGAAAAGTTTGTTTTTCCTGTGAATTTCTGCGTTCTAAAATCTGTAAATTTTGGTTGAGTCACTCACCACCCCAAACGTGGCGACGACTAACCGTGATGTTAGACTTTTTTGTTTGAATGGTTAAACAAATGAAATGAAAATGCAATTTGGTTATACGTCAACCATTCTCCTTCCCCATGAGATGTATTATAATGAGAAGTATAAACAAAATGTCTCCATTTGCATATGTTAGTTGGTTGTATGGTTAGTGATTGACGTGCTATTCTAAACACATTGTCAGCAAATCAACTTGCTCAAGCTTTTGCTGAAGTAGTTGGTTCTCGTGCTGGTTTTTGTTCGTAAATCTCTGACTTTTGTTGGTGCTTTCTTGAATTAATGCAGTTACTTTGGTGTTGGCTTTCGAAAAAAATTATGTTAAAACATAGTTGGAGAGTCTATTTTAGCATTTTAAAAACTTAATTTTTCAATTAGTTTAGATTGAGATCAGACATGAGTTTCACTAAATTAACTAGAATTTTTAATCAAAATATACAACTCACACATGCTAACCGTCAAATCACAAGATACTTGACATTAAGAAATTATTATTTAGTCTAATATACCAATGCAATTGTTGGTTAATTCGATCAATTTTGAAAATGAATGTTTTAATTATTTTTTTATTCAAACAACAATCGTTATTATACTGATTCAAATTTAACCCAGATTTCTTCTATACTACTAATTTTTCAGTGAATTATGATAATATTATGAGAAAAAACTCTGTTCTCATGTAATTGTTTATAATTTATGCGAAAGAATTAAATCGCACTAAAAATTCTATATCACAAATTCAATTAGGATAGTATTATAATAATCGAACTCGTAATACTAATTAAAACTTATGATTACACTGTATAATTGTTGTCAATAGCACCATAATTATACAACAAAAAATCTTAATAATTTCATCATCTCATGTTAGCAGACCATTCAATGCATGCAGTGTGAATAATTTGGGAGCAATTGCAAAATCACGTGAGAGGCCATCTCAGAGCCACGTGCAGTGCTTCGTCCTTTTTCTTTTTCAACCATTACCTTCTACGTACTAGTCGTTAACTATATATACACACTGCTCGATTCGGATTCATGTATCTCTTTGGGAATAACATGTCGTGTCTCACAAATTTGGCTCTTTTTGTTTTTGATTTATTATTAGTGATGGATACAGGATACCTAATACGAGAACTCGATTAGATTGCCTAGTTCTGATTAGATCTCTTAAATCTGATCAAACACCTAAATCTCTCCATAACCCCCTAACATAATTACTCACAATAAAATCCCTTAGAGCATTCACACTAGTAGTTATTTAAGAGTTATTTCTACTTTAATTCTCTACATCCAAAGTTAATAGCTGATGTGGTGAGGAGTTATTTCAAAAATATTTCTCCTGCAAAATATGGTATATTTGTGGGCCCAGTAGGTAAGAGAAATAATTTAAACATAATGGGTTAAATGGTGGGTCCATAAAAAACTGAGAAATAACTCAAAACTGATGTGAAGAAGGATTTTTTGTGATTGAATGAGATAGTGGAGGATGAGGTGGATGCTGGGACCCACAAATAACTGAGAAATATCCTCAACTGATAAGGATGCTCTATCAACCCATTACCACTTAATAATTACCCCATTATAACTTGCTAGTAATAACCCATTAGCCACCCAACGTCTACCCCATTATCACCTATTATTTTCTTATTAAATCCTATTAATTACCTATTTATTACCCCATTGACTCACCCAAAAGACACTTTTAATCTTACTACTATAAAAGAAGGGATCGGAAGAGCACAAGGAAGGGGCCACACATTATTCTTCTTGACAAGAGAGGACTCTTCCTTATATCACTCTTCCATAGAGGACTCTTCTGCACCACTCTTCCACTCTTATGAAGAGTTCATTTCATCACTCTTCAATTCCTCATACAAGAAGGCTCTATATCACTCTAGATATACAAGAGTTTCATCCCTCCCCCACATTACCTATATAAAATAGCTACTATACCCAACATGTACAAAAGCACCTACCAAAATATATAGTGAATTTAGACTTGACACCGCTCAAAAAGATCCGTATTTTACTTTCGATTTCCACGTAAAAATCATCGTGTCATTTTCTTATCTATTTTGTATTCTACTTTCTAGCAACACAAATTCTTCATTTTTCTTTATTCTCCGGTAAATTCACCAATCTTCCGGTTGTATTGCCCTCTGTAGACTTCCTAAAAGTCCTAAAACCAATAATTAGATGAAGCCTCTTATTTTTATTTTTTAATGAATTTGACCGAAAAGATGTTAATAGTAAATAAATTCATGATCTTTTGGTATAATAATATTCAATCCACGCAACAAATTTTTTCAGGACGAGATGAAGCTTCTTAGTTGTATATGAGAACATGAGCCCAAATAAATATGAAAAAATAAGTGGGTACCTAAATGTTTAGGTGGAAAAGGTAGCATTCAAAAAAAAAAAAAAAAGATGGAAAACGTAAAATTTGTGTAGAGCAGTCAAACTTAAGGATTTATCAAATTTTGAGAATCGTTCATTTAATTTGTAAGTGTTGTCTCCAATATTAAATTGACCGAATTAACTATAGACTGGATTGCTAACCTATCTTCTGGCCTTCACCATCGTTGGGCCTCATTTGGATTTATGCCATCAAAGTTATTAAAACTTTGGCCTCTTATATGTTAATAATGCATATACTTTATACTTGTATGAAGATAGAGAATCGAGCTAATTTTTTGTGTTGATGATAAATATTAATTAAGTCAATAAACAAATAAATAATAAAAACTCAAAAATTTTGAAGATTTTGGACAACTTATAGATTAATAATGCACATGCATCCTGCGAAATGGCCAAACCCCCAACGGAAAAAAAAAAAAAAAAGTAAATGAAAACATTCACTCGCAACTAATAAATACATGATGATAATAGTAAAACTAGAAATTGTTTTTTTACAATAATCAATTTCAAAATTTCTCGTACAATATTTCACACGCATACGTAACTTTAGCATCCCAAACCAAAACATTGGAGAAGAATCTGAGCTGAGTATTGTGTTTTCACCATCAATCTCTAGTGGGGCAATTCACACTTCCCAAAATCTGCAATCACAGTAGAAATAATAAGCTTTAATTTTCCGAGTCAACAACAAAAATACACAACAATCCAAACAAAATAGTGGGTGCGATCTGTAAAGAAGACAACTCAGTTGCCCACTTTTCGACAAATCTAATGACGTTGCTGACAACGTCCGACTTCGATCGATGACATTAAAGTCTTCCGTACAGTCCTCTTACGTATCACGTGCTGTCTGTCGTACATACACCCGACATCCCGCCTATTTATATATTTTTAAATCACTCAATTTAAGTTATATCTAAAATTACCTTAATTTTTATCATTTTTGACCTATAATTTAATGATACCAAAATGATTAGAAATTAGAATACGTACTTGGTTGCTGGGATACAATGTATGCTGCTCCACCGAAGTTGCATGCGCTGATCCCTCCTCCCTTCTTCTGATAATAACTGTTGAACGCGAACGAAGCGTGGGCCTCAAGAGTGTTAGGATTGTAACACGTGGAACCCGGTTGGATCGAACGGCAATCAACTCCACCTTCTCCGCAAGCGAAGTCTAGACCGGCCTGAAGTTTTTCTTTCCCGGCTTTCCCGTTTGCCACGCACCATGTCTTTCCCCGAGCCGATTTGGAGAGAATGTGGCCGCCGGCGGCCGGAGACCGCCTGTCGTGGTACCCCTTTAGCCCTTGCGTTGTGAACGGTATGTCGTAGACTTTTTTCCCGTTCGGGTAGAACAGTCCGAAGTTTCTCTCCGACGACGGCCCGATCTTCTTGTTCTCGTTGAAGAGGGCGAAGAGGTATACGGTGAGTTCTTCGTGAGGTCTTAAGGGGGTCCCGCCGCCGGTGAGCACTCGGCGCACCAGGTTGCCGTTGTACGCGGCGGCGTTCTCTACGCCGGCGCCGACTTCTTTGGAGTCGCCTTTGGACGGCCAGCCGGTTTCAGTCACCACCATTTTGATGTCATCGTACTTTAACGCGGACATGGCGGCAAAAACGGCGTCGATTTGTGCGTCAAAGAGGCTGAAGTATTTGAGCCCGTTGCCGGCGTCCACCACGCCGGGGTTCTCCCGGAAGAGGGCGTAGTCGAGCGGGATGACGTCGGCGTTCGACTCGTATGCGAAGAAGGGATAACAGTTAACCATCAAATACGACCCGGTTTGGCGAAGGAAATCCAGCATGGGCTTAATAACAGGTTCGACAAGCTCCGACCGGAACGCCCCGGCCGACGACGGGTACGAGCTCTGCAACGCGCTGAGCGCTACGGGGGACGAAACCTTGATGGCGCCATCGAGCTTCAGCTTCAATAAAGCTTGGTGGATATTCTTCATAGCCGGTACGAGGAACCGGGTGGTATTATGAGTATCAACGAAAACCTCATTTCCCACCGCAATCGCTTCAATCAGGGTAGCCGGGTGGTAGGCGGCGACGTTACGCCGCACCCACCACTGCGCAAACGACTGCCGCTTTGCGGCGTAGTAGAGACGCTCATTTGGGAGGTTAACGGTGATCTTTATCCCCGACCCAGAAAACGCCTTGAGAACCGCCGGATCAGTGTCGTACACCTTGACGCGATCAAGCCCCTGAGATTTGAGTAGCGCCACCACTTTCACGGCGGACGGGAGGTTGTTAGCAATACGTCCGTAGTTCACTCCGACGGAACCACCATCTGCAAAAAACACAATATCATCACTATCACTCCATAATTAGACTGAAATGTAATCAAACAAGTAATAATAACGAAGATCAGAGCTCACCTGC